CTGGGCTGGGATAGGCCCCACTGGGCTTTTGGGAGTGGGGCCTGGGCTTCTTGGCTGCAGAGCCCCTGGCATGTAGCCCTATAAATAAACCCATTGTGTCTGTGTCAGAGCCCCCACACTCCCCCCACCCCCAGCAGCTGCTTTTTTGTCGTGTTGGCTTATGTTGTGGACAGGGAACGTGAGGGATCCTGGGGAGGAGAGATAAGTCTTTGGGCTCCTAACATAACTGCCTGTCCTCCTGCCCTGCCTGGAAGGGCAGGTGACTGATCCCACTATCAGTTCAAAGAACCCACATCATAGTATGGAGGTTCTTGGAGTGGCTGTGAAGAGGAAGTTAGAGGGGGGATTCAGGGGGCCCCTTCCCCATGGACACATGCCTCTCAGAAGAGCTGTTGTGTCTTAGGGCCAGTTAAGAGGAGGGAAGGAAATTCTTGTCTGCCCTCTTTCTCTGAGAGGAGGGGAGGCCAGTTGGAATTCTTAGGGCTAAAAGATGCTTTGGGCCAGAGGTTAAGGTAGCCACTTTCAGGCCAGCAGTGCCCTGGGGCCTCTGCCCTTATATCCCTCCCCACACCCCAAGGCAGCCCTGGGCTGATCCTGTCTGGGAAGGAGTGTTTGCTGTAGGTGCAGAAGTTGCTGTTTACAAGTGGACTCTTGGGTGTGACAGAGATTCCAGAAAGCAGCTGGGGGATGGGGGGAGCAGAGGGGGAAACCGTTGGTGTTACGGATGATTCTGTTATTAAAGTGAGCTTCTCCATCTCTGCCTTCCTGCAGCTGCCCACCCCTCCCCCACCTTCTGGTCCCTGGCTTCTCTCCCTAGAGGACTCTGGGAGAACAGCTGGTGAGTTAGGGGCCCACCAGGGCCCCAAGGCCTTGGCGAAGGGCCCAGCTTAGGGAGCTTGGAGGACAGGCTTGCTGCCACCTCTCAGGCCCCTTCCTCCCAGGCCTGGACTTGAGTGCAGCCTGTGCCCTGGCAGGGGAGGGAGTGGGAGCTGCAGACCCAATTCCTTTGATCTGGCTGCTGGAAAGGCTAGGATAGATCTCTTTTGAGGGCCTGGAAGCTCCCGTCCCCCTCTTGGCTTTAAAGAGGCAGTGAGTACTAGGCCCATGAATGACTCGGCTGAAGAGATAGTGGTCACCCAGATTCATTCTGTGATTGGGCTGAACCAGCCACGTCCCCAGGCCACGAACAACCTACCCCCGCCAAAGCAGCGGTTCCCCCTTTTCTGTCCCTGGCTGCTTGAAAACTGCCTCCCTCCCCCCAAGGACTGGCCAGAGAGGCTTTGCTCTTCCTCCTTTCTCTCCCTCCTCTCCCTCCTCTCAGCGCTGAGGTCACCGCCCTCTGAATCAGGCCTTTGTGGGAGGCGGGGCTGCCCGTTGGTTGGCAGTTCTGGCGGGAGAAGCCAACATTCAAGTTAGAGCTTCCACACCCTGCAGCTTCTTCCCTGCACAGCCCTCGCTGACCTCATGTGTTCCAGACCCAGCATCCAACATCCAGGATGCATTGTGGGGCCACCAGAGGAATGTTTGAGACCAGGGCCATCCTGAAAAACCCAGGCTGGGGGTTTTCCCAGGCCTCAGTCAGGCTGAACACAGGAGCCGTGAGTAGTTGTGGGCCTGGGGGAAGAAGGAGGGTGCTCGGCCCCCGGACCCCCAGTGACACTCAGCAGGGACAGCTACTGGGAAAACCAATTGGGTTGGGTTTTTCCTCTTATGAGATTTAGGCCGAAAACCCAGACCGTGAAGGGCCTAATTAGGCTGATTGGAGCCAGAGGTGGCAGTATCTCTGAATCTTAATATTCCCCAGAGGAGTATAAAGATGCAGGAAGTTTTCCTAACACCATAGAAATCTTGAACTCAAATTCTGGTCTGACTCAGCATGCTCCCCTCCCCACCACCGAGTTCAAATGCGGGCCTCTTCCCTGTGACCTTTAACAACCCTGACCAAAGCTTCTTGTGCTCTCCTTGTGGCCCTGCAGACACAGAGAAGGTCCCTGATCCTGAGTTGGCCAGACCACCTCGGCCCAGGACAGCAAACATCTCCCCCAAAGCGTGGCTGAGTCACAGCCTGCCTGCAGCCGCCATTTCCGGAGCCTCTCCTAGTCCCAGCCAGGGATACAGAGACACACATGGCAGAGCTGTTGCTTTGGGTGGTTTATCTCTTGGAGGGTCTCCCCCAAGTCACAGTGGGACTCAGACCTCCCTGCACTGAGACCCACAGGGGCTCAGATTGGAGGGTGGCATGGTTGGCTCTGGAGGGTATGTTGGGTCCCTGCCCTCCTTGACACACATAAAACCACATGCACGTCACCTACAGCCAGGGTCTCGAGTCTGACCTGTATGCTTTTATTTTTGTGTTTATTTATTTATTGGCTGTGTATATAGGGTGCTTTATTCTCCAAAGGGGTACATGCTAAGGTGGGTTGGGCTTAGGCCAATGTCCCCATATGTGCAGAACTGAATACAGTGGTTCTCTAAGGAGTGTGATTTGCCTTCATGTGGAAAGGGAGATGGGCATTACAGCCAGGGATGCGCTCAGTCCTGTGCTGGTTCCAGTCTGGACTGCAGGGAGATAAGGCAGCTCTCAAGGTGGTCGCTTCCGGGCAGGGGATGGCTGCAGGGCTTGGAGAGCCTTCTGAGCCACATCTTCCCCTGGGCGCCTGATATCTCCCAGCCCAGGCAGGAACCCTGGTGCAGGCAGGCTTACCCAGCCATTGTCCTTTTCACCAGCTCTACCTGTTCTGGGTCCACGGGAGCAGAGCTGTGGTTGCTCAAGGCTGTAGCTCCCTCATCTTCACCCTCGCTCTCTCCTGGTGGGTCTGGCAAATGAAGCCCCAGGGCCTGGATCCGATCCTGGATGTCCACAACGACAAATTCTCCATCCCCCACTGGTTCCAGCTCCACCACCTCTGGTTCAGGATCTTGGTTCAGGGGCTGGTAGGAGTAGCCAGCTGGGCCTGTACCAGTTCGCTCCTGCTCTTCCTCAGGCTGCTCTGTTCCAATCCCCAGTGCCTTCTGTAGGGCCCTGGTGTGGCCTAGTTCCTCCGTCTGATTGGGGAAGGTACACTCAGGGCCCCTGGCGTCCACCCCTAGTACTGCTGCTGCTCAGGGCAGGGGCCGCGCAGAGCCTGAGGCCAAACCCTATTTTTTTTTTTTTTTTTAGGAAAACATATTCTCCTAAACCACCTTCACCCTTAGTTTGGTTTTTGTTGTGTAAAGAACACAAGACTTGGGCTTTCCACAGTGTGGGCTTTGTTTTTTCCTGGCCCCTGGGCACTACCCTGTTCATCCCACTCCTGTCCTTCACCCTCCCAACTTTTTTCCTCACACTTCCCAGCACTTCTGCCCCCGCCCCAACCCCTCTATTCCTTGGGAATGTCCACCGGGGAAATAAATGGGGAGGGGATTGAGGGAAAACTAGTGATCCGTGGGTGCAGGCCTCTCCTAGAGCAGGGGGACCTCCAAAGGGAGCCAGTGGATGTCGGCCCAGAGATGTGTTGTGAGGTGGGTGGAACTGGCCCAGTGTGTGGAGGTAACGCAAGGCCCTTTTAGGTTTTAACCCCTATTTGTGCATGTGGGAAGTATTTCTTGAAATTTTTTTCCAGGCCTGTTCATTTCTAAATATATCAAACATGATAATGTTATAGGCAAATGAAGTTATACTAGGTACATTTTTATGATGTTAAAATAACAAAGGACTTTAGATTTTGGTAGAGTTAAAAATAAAACAGTTTTTCCTTTTCTTCTCATTTTCAGGAGCCCCTTCCCACTGTCATACATACACTCGCTCAGGAAGAAACGTTCTCCCATTTGCTGTTACTCCTCTTTCTAGGGTGCCAGGCAGAGAAGAGGGAAGGCTGGCTGGCTCTGGGACTAGAGAGCTGGCAGAAAGACGGTTGGAGAGGGGGAGCCCCCTGAGGGCAGGACAGAATGGGCAGCACTCTCAGATCTTCAGTTGGCCCTAAGTGGACACCCCAGGCTGAGGATCCTATAACTCAGGGTCTGCCTACCAGAGACTAGACCCGAAGTGGGGGAATGTCGGAGCAGGTTCCATTGCAGGGCTTTATACTGTGCCTGCGTCAGGATGTGATAATATGAAAGCTTCCAGTTACTGAGTTCGTGCATGACACTCTACATACATTATTTCATTTCATCCGCCAACAACCCTTTCTATATAGCATTCTTATCCCCATTATATAGGTGAGGAAACGGATCTTGTAGAGTCAGGATTCTCACCCAGGTCTGTTTAACAGCAGTGTTCCAAGAGCCCCGGGAAAGTACGGTGCTTACTGATTATAAGGAACTTACAGTACAACTTGCATACAGAGAGGCTGAGTAGGGGTGGGGTGAAATCCAGGCCTGTCCAGGGCGCTTGGCGAACCAGCCATATGATTTGGGCTGCATCTTTTGCCTCTGGAGGCTGCTTCCTCCCCAGGCTGGTGCTCCCCTTACAAGGTTGGTAGGGGAATCAGATGGGATGATGCATGAGAAAGTGCCGGCGCACAGGATATATTCAGTGCATGGAAGTGTAACTTCTGCTCCTTATCTCAAATATAGCTGTTGATAATAGCATTTAGTTCCTTTTGTGGTGACAAGGATTAAAGAAGACTTAGATTGTGAAAGGGCCATAAAGCACCATGTGTTACTGTTCATTTCCATCTGGTATCTGAGTGTTTTCTGGCTGAGAGGTGGGACCTTTGCACTGGCTCTTCCTCTACCCAGAATGCTTTTTCCATCCCAGGGTTTCATCTGGACTTCACTCAGGTCTCTGCTTAATTGTCGCCTCTCAGTACCTTACCAGGACCCAGCATATGCTCCTTGGTTTATCTGTGTATGATCTGCCTCCCCCAGTAGAATGGAAGCTTCATGATGGAAGGACTTTCGATGGCTTGTTCATCCCTGTGGCTCAGCACCTAGCACACAGCAAAAGCCCAGTAAATGCTTGTGGAATAAGTGGCTGACATTCTCTCCCTCTGACATTCTCTCCCTCTGTTTCTTCACAGACAAGGTGACCATTCTGACTGTTAGAGTGAGTGTGCCAGCCTGGCTGCGGGGGCAGAGACAGGTGAGGGGCCCTGGGGCCTGTGGGTGCTGGTGATGGGGACTGGAGGAGGAAGGTTGGGGTGGGAGAGGCGCCCCCTGTGCCCCACCGAGAGAGCATTCAGATGCCCAGTTGATGAGCTGCTGCAGCCCTCTCTTCCTTGGTCCAAAAGTGCTAGCTTCTTTTGTGGGGGCTTCAATGGGGCAGGGAAGCAAGTAGTCGGTTGTGGACTGGAGCCTCCACCCTTTTACATTAGGAAGGGTTTCCCATCTACTGGAAATTTCCACAATTTGTGCAGAAGAAGGAAATGAGCACTTTCCTCTGGCAGAGAAATTGAAACTCAAATGGAAGATGAAGCCTCGTCAGTACAACCAGTAGCCATGGCGACAGTGTGGCAAGGCGGGGTATCACACATACAGTTCAGGTCAGAAGCCTGGCTGAGTTGTGTTCAGGCAGTGACAGACTAGCCTGTTTAGTGACCAGTCAGTCTCTTACATGCCAAGTATCCCACCAGGAAGTATAAGCCTGGGCCGTGAAGTGAACAGTGTCCCTGCCCCCGTGGAATTGACAGTCTGGGAGGGATAGTTACAGAACCTGACTGGACTTGGATTGGGAGCCCTGAAGAATGAATAAGAAAGAGCTGGCCAAATGGAGAGGCAGGGAAAGGGTTCGAGCCCCTGCAGAGGACCAGCATGCACCAAGAGGCTGGTCCACTGGGCCTCGTGGGAGCAGGGATCCTTGGAGGCAGGCAGGCCACCTCTCAGTGTCCCCAGGAGAATATAGTGTGCCAGTTGGTGGCCAGTCTTAGCAGAGAATTCAGATTCCTCAGCTCCTGGCCAGTGTCTATGTGACCTATGCGAGGGCGAGTGTGATTATAGAGGTTTATAAAACAATGGGTTTTTGTTCTTAAGATGGGAAGAGTGTCTTTGTTCCATGACCAGGAGAAACTTAGCCTGACTGAATTGTTACAGTGTCCGTGGCAAGTCGGTCACACTGAGCTACACTCAGAATACTGACAATTTGCATCTTTGACCTCCTCCCTGGGCCCCGGAGTAGCCTGCCCGGCCTTCTCTCACTTGTTCCCAGGACCTGATATCAGAGGCCATGGACCAGCCGGCTGGGAGTCCTGAAAACCCGAGGCCAGGAGAGGGTGGTGATGGCAACATGGAGCTGGGTACCTGCCAGGAGCTCCTGCACCGATTGCGGGAGCTAGAGGTAGGGCATGGGGCAGGGTGAGGGCATCAGAGCTACCTTTTCCTCCGAGCTTGGTGTGGGTGTTTTTGGGTGCAGTGGCCCGTCCTCTCAGTCCCCTTTGCCAGGCTGGTGCGGAAATGAACATTTCTTAGCAGAGGTCCTCTGAGAAGCCCTCTCCCTGCTCTTGGCTCTCCAGGCTAGGTGCCAGCTCAGAGACAGGAGGCATGCACAGGGGCAGGGCTGTCCTAACCCCTAAATGTCTCCCTTCTTTACCCCGCTTCTCCCCACTTTCATGGCCCTACTGGCTCTAGGAAAGGGGTGGACACAGAGGCCATAGGAAAAGGGGTTAGATGACCTAGAACTCAGGAGCTGAGGGACAAGGATATGAATCCCTGAGCAAAGGTCCTTCTTCACATTCTTAAGGCCCTGCTTTCCTCCCTCCAGCCTCTTCTGCCCTCTCCCTGGGAAAATAAGGGTTACTATTGGCACCTCCCACCTTAGGTTTTCCTGGCCACTGTCTCCCTAGCCCCTCCAGCCTCACTGACTGATGTTGAGGTAAAGAAAAACAGACATCTGAGCTCTGCCTTCTGAATGCCCTCAGACTGTCTCTATAGGCCTCCCCATGGTAGGATCCAACCAGAACCAAGAGCTGGGCAGGGATATAATTAGTAGACTGCTTGCCTCCCCTTCCCCAAAAGGAATTTGCCCTGAGGGAAAGATGATCCCATAGCCTCCTTTTTGCCCCCTTCCTCCTGCAGGCAGAGAACTCGGCACTTGCCCAAGCCAACGAAAACCAGCGGGAGACCTATGAGCGCTGTCTGGACGAGGTCTGGGGGGTCTGCAGTGGGACTGATGCTAGGGAGAGTTGGGGGGCATAGCTTGTCTCCACCAAACAAAGGCTGGGTTGGCTGACAGCTCTGCCTTGGGGCTTTCTATCCCCAGGTTGCCAACCATGTGGTACAGGCACTGCTGAACCAAAAGGTAAGTGGCCATGGGAGACGTTCTCTCACCCCCAAGTCTGGCGAGGCCCTGGATACCACAGGGGAGGTCCTTCCTGGGGACCCCTGAACCTTCTCAGCTAAGTCTTTGACAGGGGCTAGAGGAGGGGGCTTGATGGAAATGTCCTATTGGCCCAATGATGCCCCCCCCCCACTCCCCCACCCCTTGCTTCCTCACCTCAGACAGGTCTGTACTATTTTACCTGGAGGCAGGGGTGGGATAGGTGAGGACAGATCTCTGAGTTATGGTAACTTTGATTTGGGCTTGAATCCTTCCCTTATCCTGGCCCAGCTGGTTTCTCCAGATTATAATGGCCCTAAAAGCAATGTTGATGTTGTGAGCATTAGGTGGCATCTAAATATTTGCTCAAGCACTGTGGGTAACTTCTTGACATATGGTCCACTCTGACCCCTAGATCTTCTGCCTTGTCTGGACCCTTCTTTGTTGTGTGGTTTCTAAGAGGCGGGGGGTTGGCTCCAGGATTGTCGAAGGTACCAATGGGAATGGGATTTACCTCCCACCAGGGGTGGCTAACTTTAGAGAATTTACCATCCCCTGAAGATTTAATAGCTAAAACATAGGCAGGCTCAGCTCCCTCAGAGGAGGAAGTTGCTGGAGAAGGGCATGCCTGGGAGGAGTGCCCACTGCTCTGATAAAGGGGACTGTGTGTACTGCACCCCCCCACCCCACC